GCTCCTGCCACGCAACGCAGCGCAAGCATTGCCAAAGGGGTGTAGGCATGGCAGGACGAGCAGTTCCGGATGCCTACATCCGCAGGGGCTAAATGCATGTCATATATTTTCGTGGCCGTCCAACGCATCAACCAGTGCTGCGACATAATGATATCTCGCGGACCAAATGGACCCTAAAAGGCTTCATGGTTCGTATACCTGAATAGGAGTACAGTCGTAAGGGTATATGACCCCAAATGATCAATCAGACTTTACTCTTGTCATCGTGGAATGAGAAAAAGGCTGCTCCAGTAGAACCTGGCTGCTGCAAAATCTCTTGGGGTTCGAGGTTCATACACCTTCGCCTTAATTTGGAATATAGGGTATATGACCCCAGTTCTAAGGTTCAGCTGGTGCCCAAGGTTCTGCATAGCTGGCAGACACCCATGTCTGGTTCGTGGACCCTGCTCTGGGACGGGACCTATCCCTCAGCACTGGGAAACAGGGTTTAGGGTTTAGGAATGCTTAGGGTGTATGACCATTAAGAATGCCGAAAGCTTCCACTCCTCGACAACCAACTGGCGCAAGGTTGTCGGTCGGGGTCCTTGAGGCGTACTCTCTTTTCCAAAGGAGCATTTCCAGTTAGGGTTAAACCGCTCATACTCGGACAGGTCTTGGGTTGGGCTTTGGGTTTAGGAAGGATCGTTTTCTGCCGAGTCTCTCAACCTCTATTGTTTCAACTCTGAGTGCTATTGAGCAACTTGACTTCAGGGTTCAAGACGAGTTGAACATGGCTCTGGTGGTGACATGAAGCTTTTTGGGGTACCAGATATAACAGATACAACAAATATTCCAGAGATAACCGATATAACGAATATAACAGATATAACAGATATAACAGATATAGCAGATATAACAGATCTAAACAGACATGACAGATAAAACAGATATGACAGATAAAACAGATATAACTGATATAACAGATATCACAGATATCACAGATATAACAGATATAACAGATATGACAGATATGACTGATATAACAAATATGACCCGTCAGTCCTCCGCCATGGCCAGACATGGCACGGGCAGTAGCTTTCAGCACGCGCCGCAATATCCGATGACCAGGGCTGTGTGTCCAAGCTCTCTGAATTGTGCAAAGTTGTCGGGCAGCATATGTTGGAACAAGTACGCTGGCTATGACATTCAAAATTTTGTAAGGTGTGGTGGGTCCGGCATGCAAGTGTGCAGGTGTTAGTCTTGAGTTCACCCCTGCGCAACAGGACGCTGCGCTCAAGCGCAGAATGATCAGTCCGTGGTCGCCATGAGAAGCGAACTGAACACTACAGACATGCACAGCCGGGTTCGCAGACTAGCAGCTAGCAACAGGACGTGCGCTGCGCCTTGGGCGTCGTAGAACAAGTAGGTGCTGGGAAATCTAAAACAGCGCGGCGTCGCGTAAGGCAAAAATTCCACTCAGTTCGGCCCGCGCCGCGAGTGCCCTGAGACTGCCGTGAGCATGCTGTGGCGCGAGATGTGCTCAAACGCCCCGATGCCATCGACGCTCAGCACGGTGGTTCGTGGGTCACGCTAGGTGGCTGCCCCGGCCTCTGTGCTGAGTGCATATTGGAAGGGCGCGCACGCTCACTGGAACTTGTCGCCATACTGTTGCGCGAGTGTGCACGCAACCACCCGCCGGATCGCTCCTCGACGATGTATACGTCATAGGCCCGCCAGAACATACGGCGGACAAGTTCCACATCGTCCACGAAGCCCTTTTCAGGCATGCGAACATTCGCGTTGCACCTCGGCAAGACCCGCCTTGGAACAGTGCGGGCGAGGAACCGGTGGGGCTGCTCGCAGCACTGCCAGGACGCTGGCCGCTCCCCGCTTCAAAGCAAGGGATAGTTGCGCTGGGTATTTTGCCCATTTGGGAGCCGTGCGTTCATCGCGGACAGGCTGACACAAAACTTGCGTGAGCACGGCCGCCTGCTTCAGCGAATCCCGCGCATCCCCGACTTGCAGAATGCGTGGCTGCTGCTCCTCTACTGCGCCACGCCCCATTGCGTTTATTGCTCCCAGCTCCCCCTTCGACTAGGAGGCCTCCGGCTCGGGGCCGCCGAAAGGCAAAGTTATGCCGCCTACTGGCATCTGGGGCAGACACATTGCAGGCGGTGCGTGACCCGACAGCCGGGCGTGATTGCAGAACTTGTCCGCCACACTTCTCGATGTAGGGGCGGCTGGCACGCCCCCAAACACTCGCGCGGCCGCACAGGCCGCAGAGTACCTACGAGCGGAAAACTTCCGAGCACCCTCATGGGCAACACTGCTCGAAAGTGACTCCGACGCACCTGAGGGAGGCGCGAACCTGGCATCGGACGGCCGGGCAACGGCCACTGACAAGCGTGCGCTTGAGACGCTAGTGTTCCCAGCGAACTGGGAAATTGACGTGCCCGATGCCGAGTAATTACCACACGTGCTACTGCGCTAGGTGCGATTCGGCAACCTCGATGCGCTCGACCGGTCCCCATGCGCGCAGTTTGGGATGTTACGTAGCCCGTCGTGCTGGCCCCTTCGAACGCACAGCAGGTCGCATTTGGCGCGAAGCACGAGCGACGGTTGCCACGAATGTTTCCCTACGCGATCTCAACCTCGACGTGCGCAACATCGAGGTCGTGGCCAACAACCCCGAAGGTGTTGACAACCGCGATCGTAAGCCCTCTGTGCCTGACGGCGAGACCCGCCCGCAGGCGGATCGCGACAGAACTACCGCGCCCGCCGCTGCAAGCTGGTCGTGTTGCGAGTTGAGCTGGGCGGGCGCTTCGGCCGCAGCACCCTGATCTTCCTGCGCTTGCTTGTGCGCGCCCGCGCGCGCCAACGCGCGCCATGGTGCGCTGCAGCGGCCCGCCAAGCGATAGTGCACCGATGGACCACCCTGGCAGCACTCACGGCGCGCCGCGCCCACGTGCACGCTGCTAGAGCTTCCTGTCGGTGCACCGGTCAACCCGCTCGACGGGCGCGCGTAGACTTCTGCCCCGCCCGCGATGCACCGTGCCCAGGCGAGTCCCACCACGTGAACACCAGCCCCGCGCGCCTGGACTTTGTCCTTTACCACCCCCGGGCAATCTGCATCGTCGAGTGGACGAATGCCAGCACATGCCGCAGTCCTGTGAAACCGCGCGCATGCTGAACGTCGCGGCGCAGCACGTGCAGCGCTCGCCGGGGGTGCCGCTGCGCGTCCTGCGCTACAACCCCGATGCCTTCAAGATCGGCGGGGGCCGCGGCATGGCGACCCAGGCGCTGCGCCACTCAAAGCTACTGCTCGCCCTTGGAGGGCCGTCCAAGGACTTCGAGGTCCTCTACCCGATGCTGCGCGCCCGCTCGTGTGCGATGAGGTGGATACCCGGACGAGCTTAGAGCCTTTGGTAGAAGTATGTTTGGATTATTTGGCATCTTTGGGACGGCCTCAAGGATGCGTCATAGCAAAGTCCAGGGGCTGTTTTCGGTAACGGCTTCGCCCGCTCGCAGTCATAGCAAATTCCAGGGACTGTTTTCGGTAACGGCTTCGCCCGCTCGCAGTCATAGCAAATTCCGGGGGCTGTTTTCGGTAACGGCTTCGCCCGCTCGCAGTCATAGCAAATCCCAGGGGCTGTTTTCGGTAACGGCTTCGCCCGCTCGCAGTCATAGCAAATTCCAGGGGCTGTTTTCGGTAACGGCTTCGCCCGCTCGCAGTCATAGCAAATCCCAGGGGCTGTTTTCGGTAACGGCTTCGCCCACTCGCAGTCATAGCAAAGTCCAGGGGCTGTTTTCGGTAACGGCTTCGCCCGCTCGCAGTCATAGCAAATTGCAAGAACTGTTTTCGGAAACGGCTTCGCTCGCTCGCAGTCATAGCAAATTCCAGGGGCTGTTTCGCTAACGGCTTCGCACGCTCGCAGTCATAGCAAATTCCAGGGGCTAATTTCGGTAACGGCTTCGCCCGCTCGCAGTCATAGCAAATTCCAGGGGCTGCTTCGGTAACGGCTTCGCCCGCTCGCAATCATAGCAAATGCCAGGAGCTGTTTCGGTAACGGCTTCGCCCACTCGCAGTCATAGCAATTCCAGGGGCTGTTTTCGGTAACGGCTTCGCCCGCTCGCAGTCATAGCAAAGTCCATTGACTGTTTTCGGTAACGGCTTCGCCCGCTCGCAGTCATAGCAAAGTCCAGGGGCTGTTTTCGTAACGGCTTCGCCCGCTCGCAGTCATAGCAAATTCCAGGGACTGTTTTCGGTAACGGCTTCGCCCGCTCGCAGTCATAGCAACTTCCAAAGCGGATACGATTGCAGGTTTTTTCCAATCATTAACCCCCCTTCCCCCCCTGCAATCTTTTTAAGGTCGCGGTGATGTGCTGAGTGTAAGACCGAAGTCCAAGCTTCAATGCTGATGGTTGATGAACATGTCTGTGCTGGCTAATGCTGGTTATCCCAATCGGCAGACCGCGTCCTTTAAGTGCTCGCGGGCAAGCTTTACAGTGAGCAGAGCCGGGGAGTCCGCGTACACTTTTGCATTGTCGTAAGATCTTCACAAAGCAGTGTTCCGTGTCTTCCAACCGCTTTGGGATTGGGGCCTTATCTCAGAAGTGTCCTGCAGACAGAAGGCAGCCTTTCTTAGGCCGCTTCGGCAAAACACCTCCGAAAGCCGCTCTCAGGAGCCTCGAGGAGTGCTTGAAAGTAGCACGCGACAAGCTGGCAAAAGCACGGTCATCGCCGTTTGAAAACATGAAGGGACGTGGCTCACGGAGCGTCTTGAAGCCCTAGCTCTGGAGACCTACCTCTCCTTTCAGGACCACGAAGTCCCGCGCCAGCGAGGGGAAAGCTCAGCCCTGTACATTATTGTCATACATTCCTGTACCAAGGGGTTCCCAAGGGAACGGCCCCGAAACTGCCTAAACACAAAAGAGTCTTCTGCCCGTATAAACTGGCAGGCTCCAAAGAGTGGATGCTTTCAAGCACTCGCTTGTCACAAGATACTCTTACTCTTGGACTCTCAAGCCCCTGCCAACCAAGTGCAAGGGTAGAGAATCATCAGCGCGCCGTAGCTCACTCGAAACATGCACTCGTAAGAGAACAGCTCCTCTTTGCCGGGAGATGGTGTCAGCTGTTGAGGTAAACTCAGAATGCCGCCGCAGTCATTGCTCACCTTGCCCAAGGTCTTCAAGACGATGTGGGCTGACCAGTCGTTCTCCTCGATTGGTGTCACGACGTGGGGGATGAGCTTCAAAAGGCTTCCGGTGGTTGACAGCGTGGCGAACGCTTTGCCAATCATCTCGTTCTTGTTGGTGACATAGAAAATCTGCACGAAACCCAGCACCTTACCCCAAGCAGTGAGGACCTTGCTCATGCCAACATACCACTCTTTCGCGTCAGGCACCTTATCAAACATATTCACATTCAAGGCAGGTGCAGAAGCGACCATACTCCCAACCCACCGGAACGACTCCATGAGCTTAATCTCACCGTCACTGAACGTGTCGTCCTTCTGCATATCCCTTCGGACCGCGGTGCAAAAGAGCCGGATGACGCTCCCGGCCATGGCTCCAGCGCCGAGCGCCAGGGCCTGCGCTGCCTTCCTCTTCGCTGGGTCATGACTCAGAAGTGCACCTGCGGTTTAGGGTTTAGGGTTTAGGGTTTAGGGTTTAGGGTTTAGGGTTTAGGGTTTATAGGGTTTATAGGGTTTATAGGGTTCAGGGTTTAGGGTTTAGGGCTTAGGGTTTAGGGCTTAGGGTTTAGGGCCTTAGGCCTTAGGGCTTAGGGTTTAGGGTTTAGGGTTTAGGGTTTAGGGTTTAGGGTTTAGGGTTTAGGGTTTAGGGTTTAGGGTTTGGGGTTTGGGGTTTGGGGTTTAGGGTCATGACTCAGAAGCGCACCTTCCAAGGGCTGCTGATGGTAAGGGGCATTGTTCCAGTCCCGAACCGTCTTTGCATTCAGCATCTCAAGTTCGAGCATTTACTAGGCCAGCAGTGTGTGTAGGCAACGGAAAAAAACCCACCCGCCCAAAGAATCCCATAACATTAAGAAAGTAAAACGTTCATTAATTTCTGTTCCGACGCACCAAGAGGCCACACAATCACACGGGTCAGACGGGTCAAAACGCCAAATTCGTGCTGAACAATGGGGGTCCAAATGGGTCAGACGGGGATCAAAACGCCAAATTCGTGCTGAACAATGGGGGTCCAAATGGGTCAGACGGGTCAAAACGCCAAATTCGTGCTGAACAATGGGGGGCCAAATGGGTCAGACGGGTCAAAACGCTACATTCGTGCTGAACAATGGGGCTCCAAATGGGTCAGACGGGTGAAAACACCAAATTCGTGCTGAACAACGGGCGTCTAAAATGGGTCAGACGGGTCAAAACGCCAAATTCGTGCTGAATAATGGGGGTCCAAATGGGTCAAACGGGTCAAAACGCCAAATTCGTGCTGAACAATGGGGGTCCAAATGGGTCAGACGGGTGAAAACGCCAAATTCGTGCTGAACAATGGGGCTCCAAATGGGTCAGACGGGTGAAACGCCAAATTCGTGCGGTCTAAAATGGGTCAGACGGGTCAAAACGCCAAATTCGTGCTGAACAATGGGGGTCCAAGTGGGTCAGACGGGTCAAAAAACCAAATTCGTGCTGAACAAGGGGGGTCCAAATGGGTCAGACGGGGCAAAACGCAAAAAAATTCGTGCTGAGCAATGGGGGTCCAAATGGGTCAGACGGGTGAAAACGCCAAATTCGTGCTGAGGGTCAAAACGCCAAATTCGTGCTGAACAATGGGGGTCCACATGGGTCAGACGGGTGAAAACGCCAAATTCGTGCTGAACAACGGGGTCCAAATGGGTCAGACGGGTCAAAACGCCAAATTCGTGCTGAACAATGGGGCTCCAAATGGGTCAGACGGGTCAAACCGCCAAATTCGTGCTGAACAAGGGGGTCCAAATGGGTCAGACGGGTCAAAACGCTAAATTCGTGCTGAACAATGGGGCTCCAAATGGGTCAGACGGGTGAAAACGCCAAATTCGTGCTGAACAATGGGGCTCCAAATGGGTCAGACGGGTGAAAACGCCAAATTCGTGCTGAACAATGAGGGTCTAAATGGGTCAGACGGGTCAAAACGCCAAATTCGTGCTGAACAATGGGGGTCCAAGTGGGTCAGACGGGTCAAAACGCCAAATTCGTGCTGAACAAGGGGGGTCCAAATGGGTCAGACGGGGCAAAACGCCAAATTCGTGCTGAGCAATGGGGGTCCAAATGGGTCAGACGGGTCAAAACGCCAAATTCGTGCTGAACAACGCGGGTCTAAATGGGTCAGACGGGTGAAAACGCCAAGTTCGTGCTGAACAATGGGGGTCCAAATGGGGTCAGACGGGTGAAAACGCCAAACGTGCTGAACAACGGGGTCCAAATGGGTCAGACGGGTCAAAACGCCAAATTCGTGCTGAACAATGGGGGTCCAAATGGGTCAGACGGGTCAAAACGCCAAATTCGTGCTGAACAATGGGGGTCCAAATGGGTCAGACGGGTCAAAACGCTAAATTCGTGCTGAACAATGGGGCTCCAAATGGGTCAGACGGGTGAAAACGCCAAATTCGTGCTGAACACTGGGGGTCCAAATGGGTCAGGCGGGTCAAAACACCAACGGGTCAAAACGCAAAATTCGTGCTGAACAATGGGGCTCCAAATGGGTCAGACAGGTCAAAACGCCAAATTCGTGGTCCAAATGGGTCAGATGGGTCAACACGCCAAATTCGTGCTGAACAAGGGGGTTCCAAATGGGTCAGACGGGGCAACACGCAAAATTCGTGCTGAACAATGGGGGTCCACATGGGTCAGACGGGTCAAAACGCCAAATTCGTGCTGAACAATGGGGGGGCCGAATGGGTCAGACGGGTGAAAACGCCAAATTCGTGCTGAACAATGGGGGTCGAAACGCCAAATTCGTGTTTAACATTTAGGTATATATGGTAGAGAGGTTTAGGGTTTAGGGTGTTTAGGGTGTTTAGGGTTTAGGGTTTAGGGTTCAGGGTCATGACTCAGAAGCGCACCTTCCAAGGGCTGCTGATCGTAAGGGGCATTGTTCCAGTCCCGAACCGTCTTTGCATTCAGCATGCGCTCCGTGCACGCGTCGCTCGTCGAGAAGGGGGCATGGCCCATCAGGGCTTTGTAGTAGACAGTGGTTGGGATAGCTGCAATCAGGCACGCAAGGTCAAGGAGGGAGAGATCTTCTCCAGTTAAGAGCTTATAGAGCCAAGAGATTACAGGGATGTCAATGGTGTGATCCAGCATGCCCATCAACTGGCCAACAAAGGTCTCACAAGCAGTGAAGAGCTCTAAGATCATGCCCTCGGCGCCGTCAACAAGAGCGATGGAGATGATGCCAGCAATTCGCTCCATGACTGTCGTGAGGTCTAAGTGGCTAAACTCCTCAAGCACTTGGGTCCTGAGTCGCTGCGCAGCACCTTCCACGCTCTCTTCCGCCGACTCACACAGCTTCACCAGCGACTGCAGAGCCGATGGAACCCCCTCCAAGTCCACTTTCTTGGGTGCGGAGGCGCGGGTCACATTGCCCTTGAAGTGATGCTTGCCCAAGTGGCCCGGGGCACTTTGCTTGGCGCTGGGATCCGGGGTCTTGAGTGCCTCGGCGCCGGTCATCCTCAGGCCCGGCTTCACGCCTGTAAACTCGGCGATGTTCTTCCTGAAGTCATCGAGCGCCTTCTTCCTGTTCTGAACTTGGAACCCTCGCAAAAACTTGAATTGTTTTTGCTGCTTCTTCGGAATTGAAGTACCCAAAATAACAAAAAAAATGATTTCCAAGTATCCCTAAGCTTCGTGGCAGCCCTGGCCGAGGCTAAGTCATCGATGAACTCCGAGGCAGTCAGCGAGATGAACTTCTTGATCACCCGATGCGTCACCAGGATGTCCTGCCAACCGAAAAGGAACTCCAAGAACAGAATCACCCACTCAATGGCCATCTTTATCTGGTTATAGACCCACTGAATAGCGCCGCCGATCGCTTCGAGGGTGTCCATCAAAGCCGCATAGATCTTGCCCTCAATAATCGCCAATATGTGCCAAGCACCTGAGATCTCATCCTTGACAAACTTGATCGTCGCCTTGAATGCGCACCCCAAAGCATTGAAGAGGTCCCCAATATCCACCATCCTGGCCGAGCTTAGATCGAGGTCTATCCCTGACACCTTCAGCTTCGCAGTGCTGCGGGTGTGCGCAAGCCTGCGCGGCGCCAGGGGCAAGGCCGAGTTCCCCACGTCTTTGCTCGCTTCGTCTAGGTTCTTGTTGAGCTTGGCGATCTGGTCCAGGGTGTCATCAGGCGTGTCTGGCGGGATCCACGGCTTCTGAGTACCGTGCATGTCCGTGACCTTGGCACCTCGCAACTTGTCCTTGCTATTCAGTGCAGAATTGCGCTTGAAGGCAGCGTCCATGGGATTCACTTGTAGGGGTTTAGGGCCTCCCAGTCCCAGCATGTTGGTCGCAATGGCAACGTGAAAGCGAGTTGCCACTAAGCTGTTGGTCAACTCCACGATGGTGATGGTCCCATCCTGGTCTGTCTGCACCGTCACCGGCTGAGGGCCCACCTGGGAAGCACAAAGAACCGCAAGAGACCACAAGATCACCACATTAAACCCTAAACCCTAAACCCTAAGCCCTAAGCCCTAAACCCTAAACCCTAAGCCCTAAACCCTAAACCCTAAACCCTAAACCCTAAACCCTACAAAATGTTCATCGGGATTTGGTCCGTAGGAGAAGCTGTGGCATCTTGGGCTTCGGTTGTAGGCCGGAGTTTGGAATGAGGGTCTGGGTCCACTTTGCAGGGTTCAGGGTGTAGTTTCATGTTGCTTCAAGCTTTGGGCTGAGAGAGACAGCAGACTTCTATCGGACTGGGTGAACATTGTGTGGACTCACGTGGACATGGGATGACGTGGCACACCAGCAACGGGGAGAGGCTAAGGACGAGGGAAATGGGAAGAGAAGGAATGAAGCAGAGTCGTTTACAAACAATGAGGCGGGCTGCGGAGAGACACCTTTCGTTATTCTTTCACAAGGGATTTTCACTGGATTTTCATACTGCCCCACCTGGTAGTAGAGGTGGTTGATGCTTACCGAGGTCACGGTGGTCGAAGTCACCTCAACTGCTACGTTGGCAGCTGTCATGCCTGTCGTCTGGTTTGTCACCTTGAGCTCTGTGGTGAAGCTCTGAATGGATCGCGAGTCCTGCTTGTAGCTCGTTGGTGGCAACGTTATGCTCTTCGATGTCCAAAGCCCCGTGCCAGGCGTCTTGATGTACTTCCTCAAGCTAGTGCCCGTGTGAGCAAAGAAGGTGTTTGCCAGGAATTTGCGATCTACATAGGGCGAGACTGCATCAACACTGGTGAGGATAGGCAGTGGGACGCTCCAAGCATCAGAGTCCGTAACCTCGTCCGTCTTGCATGTGAGGTAAAAGACCTGGTTGCTGCCATTCAGACCCCAAACGGTGACGACACCTTTCTCCTCTGCCGCAAAGAGCTTCTTAACGCCGGCCAGGAGACTGGGCTCTGAGACGACCTTCGTTGCCACGGCATCGTTGCCCTGGTTGCCGGCGGCGAAGTAGTAAAGGCCTCCATGCGAGGCGACGTACAAGTCAGAGTCGTCGTCTCCGTTGCTGTGCCGCGCTGCGGCGATGGCGTCGGGCACCAGATCCTCAGGGAGCCGCAGTCGGGAGACGGGCGGCGGAACAAGGGGGTCGAAGCCATAGAGGGGCGCGTAGACCAGCTGCGCAACGCGGTTCACCTGGCCCATGGTGTAGATCCCGTCCACGAAGTCCCCCTTGGCCCGGCCCAGAGTAGACTGGTAGGTCGAAGCCTCGAAGTCAGCGGCCATTTGGTGCTTCTTCCACAGAGGCTGCGACTTGCTCACATCTATCCAGTAGCGCTCTAGAAGTGGCTGGGCTGCTTCCTGGTTCCGCAGGATATCCACAACAATGTGCTCGCCATCAGAGGCCTGGCTCAGCATGATGTTCGCAATGCTCAGCGGCTGAGGCACTGGCACGGGCTTGCCAGAGCTGTCCACCGCGTTGAAGGGTGCATGCAGCCACGGGATATCCTTTGTCCAACTAAGGTCCACATCTGAGTTGTGGAGACTCAGGTACAAGTTGGAGGTGCCCTCTGCTTCGACGCACATTGCGACATGGATCTCCCTCGACGTGCCCTTCCCGGCCGCCTGCGAGACGCCAAAAGTGCTCACGGTCCCCCCCTTTGGGAAGCTCTGCTTGATGAGCTTCTCTGACAAGTTGCGCAGTGTCCAGCCATGCATGGTCTTCCCTGACTCCTCCACGACAACGTTGAAGTCTTCCGTGCCGATCATGAAGAGGAGCCCGAGTCCTGCATCTGTCTGCAGCGCCTGAAACTTTTTCTGTGGCTGAAGGATGTCCGACTGGATGTAGTTCGTCATGAGCTCTGCAGAGGCTGCAATGTCGTAGGTGACCTCCTCTACGACAGGCGGCGTTGGCTGCATCACAGGCGAGATCATCTGCTTCGCCTCATCAACCAAACCGTTCATGCTTGGGGTCGCATACCTCAACTGAGTCACCAGGTCACAGCTGTGAGAGAAGAAGACGTGAGACATGACAAAGGTGTCGGCACCGGGAAAGACCCACTGATGATACTGGTTGAAGTTGTCTGCCAAGTTGTCTGCAAAGGCATCGAACGCAGCCTTGAGAAACCTGTCCACACCGCCCTGAGCATCTGACAAGCCCTTCTTCAGATAGCCCTCGAGGCCAGAAAGACCTTCGATCCCTTTCGCATGGAAGTCCCAACTCGCGGAGTTGTTGTGGACGGTCATGTGTTGAGTCGCGGTGAGTTTGCCGTCATCGCTGACGGCCAGGTCAAGTGTGACGATCTTTGTCTTGTAGTAGTAGTCCCTCAATGGGAGGTCGGTGTAGTGCACACCCAGCTCATGGTGATGAAAGCCCATTGCAACCTTTGCCGTCACGGTGATGATGATCTGGGTTCCCCGGATAACGATATCTCCATCAAGCTGATAGTTGAAATCCATGAAGATGCTAACAGTGTGCGATGAGTTCTCCGACTCATCACCGGCTTTGTGGGCGAAGGATAGTGTGTGAGTCTTCATTCCCCCGTCCCTCACTGGTGTTGGGGTGTGTAGAGCGGCGAATCTGGCTGGATGCGCAGCATAGTGAAATCCGGTGGATATGTAGAAAGTCTCTCCATCATGATGTGTTGTGCAGGAGGTGTCAAAGCAAAGCCACCTGCTGGGGGACGCCGCTTGCTGTGTGAGGTAGCTTGCAATAAAGCTGCGTCGCACTGACAGGACTCCTGATATCTGGCTCACATCATTGGCCTCCACCCAATTCCATGTAAAGGGCTGGGTGCCAGGAGGCGTTGCTCTTGTGGAGAGATTGTATGCCAAGCAAGAGGCGGGGCTGTGAGTTTCCCGGCCGCCGACCAGGTATGGTGCTGTGGAATAAGCCAGTGACTGGAATGCAACCGTAGAGGACGGCGTCGGGTCAACCTTCGACGTGACGGAGTAGCCGAAGATGGGGTTGCCCGTCTGGCGCAATTGGCTGAAGTAGGCTCCTGTGAAGATCTTAGACATCATCGCCCACGCAGGGCCGAAGTCGGTGTTGTCTGTGACACCCTTGATCACTGGGTTGGCTACGAGCGATGCTGTCTCCAGATCCAGGAAAAGCTTCCGCATGCTGAAAGAGTTAGGACCAAACTCATGTATGAACTGCTTCATGCGTTCTCGCACATCGTTCGGGACTGGGGCGTTGGGGTTGATAGTATTCAAGGTGAGGTCCACCAAAAAGTTGTAGTACCACGCGGTTTTCGCACTCGAACCTGAAGGCTGGATCTTGTTGATCGCGACAGCCTGGTCGAAGCCAGCGTACGTGAGGCCACATATCTGGAATTCGGAGGACGTCAAGTTGAAGGAGACCGGACTGTCCGAATGATTGCCCAGAGTGACTATGGGCGGTAAATTGGCCAGGGGCATTCGGGGCAAGCCACCTTTGGCCTTGAAGGCTCCAACAAACCCGACTTTGGCCAAGTTGACCACGTTCTTGTCAGTTTGGTCAGCACCGTCGGTCAAGCTGAAGGGGTCCGAACCACCGGCCTGATCCACGAGGGTCTTGTAGTCGACCTCCACGATCTCACCCTTGGAGTGAGGCTTGTAGGCGTAGCACTTCAGGATTTCATGCAGCTGGGCCTTAGACAGGTACATCATCATTGTGGCATTCACACTGGCCTGCGTCACCGCCACAACAGCGTCGATGTCCTTGAAATCTGACAGATTGCTCGCGAAGCCACTCGCGGAGCCTCCGACAGCATTTCCAGCCGGCTGGGGTCCAGTCTGGCAGCAACCCATGCTGTCTCAGGAAGCACTACCCGACCCACCCACTTCTGCCTACAACGGCATGATCATCGTAGAGCTGTTCCAATCAACTGCAGCAGTGCGTGTTTGAGATCTGATTTAGGATGCGTGTCTGACTTGGAGGAAGAGAGTGAACTGCCAGCTCGGAGCGCGCAGCCTTCAAACGCTAGTGAATGAACACTTGCTGAGGGCTCTTCTGCATCTTTAAAGCATTGATCTAACCTCTTGCACATCCCGTTCTCCCAAACTGCCTTGATCCAGCAACTCTGGGTGCCATCATGTAATTGCGTTGCACTGGCTTCCTGAGCAGTGGCCTATGACTCATATCTTTCAGCCCCAGGCACTTTTTGACCAGCTGCATGTACGCGAGCCAAGGTCGCCACGAGGAGCATCGCGTGGTTCGCGAGCTTCCGCTGTGAAACATAGTGGGCTTTGTGGCCATGCAGGTGTTTGTGTCGGCGTACCCTGATTCGCAGCCGATGTCGTTGCATCTGGGGCGCAATATGTCAGACACTACACGCCGGAGCACCACCTGGTAACAGCTCCGGAAGTGCAAGCAAGGCTTTGGGGTAATAGTGCAACAATGCTTGTGCTGCTACCGGCCGCACCTGGCTTTCACCTTAGCGAGCGCTGCAAACACCGTTATGAAGCATTTTGCTGCCGTGGTGTGGTAGCTGTGTCCGATCGTGGGCCGCTCCGCACCGAAACTGCGGCAATGCATCGTTGATATATATGTATATCTATCTAACTATTTATCTATCTGTCTGTCTGCAAGTTCCGCATCTCAGCAGAGCCCTATGATGGATGTAGGAAGTTGTTCATGCATGAACCGTTAAGCCGCAAAGGAAAGAACACAAAACTCTGTGGACAAGCCTGCCTAAATGTGGAGACTGTGCCGGTAGTCCATTCAACTGACAAGTACCCGGACGGCTCCCTACTTGTGAGGGAGGCATGTGGAGACTTCAGGGTACTCAGCCAAGTGGGTGAAGCGGCTCGAGCACTTCTCCATACAGCACGGCACACATCTGCCGCATGCCATGCAGAAGCATGATGCGGCCAGGAACATTAGCAGCTGCACTGCTTCGGGCCCAAAACTTCCATGAGAACACCTTGAATAATTCGGAATTCGGGGACGGAAGGCTGGTTCAGCACCGCGTGCTGCGCTTATCTGCAGTGTTCCTTGCAGCAATGCAGAGCAATGCTTTTGTCATTTCGTTACGTGTGGTGTCGCGGCGCGGGCCAAACAGCCAAAAAAGTTTTGTGTTTGGTGTGGTGCAGCAATTTGGTGAAAGCGAAGCTGCATCTTCCCGGAGTCCTCGGAGCTTTGGTGGAAGTCCAAAGGTCGGACCCGGCCACCCCCCCTTTTTTCTGAAGGTTGTGGGGTGGGTTTGGCAAAACGGGCAGCGGACGCGGTGAGTGAGACGTGAACACGGAAGCAAAAAAAGGAACACCATGTGGAGCAATCTTAAAAACACCGGGGCCTGCCAGGAACAGGGAACACCCCAACAACATGGTTATCGGGCGCTGCGCCGGAACCTGCAGTGCTTCGTTTCGTCGCAAGAAAGCGTTTTCTGCAACCGCAAATGGGCGTTGCATGTGGCCGAAGGCATGCGCACACATGACATGGCCAAACTCACGCCGCTGCTCACGTGAATTCTGATATGGGGCCAACTTGGGATATCATGTATATATGGTTCTTATGCTGGTCGACATCTACTCGAGCAGTGACATCAGCAAAAAATGCAAAAATTGTTTTCTTATTTGACCCTCCTCATCCTCGCGACGCATTTCCGCGTAGGATTCATGAGATGATTGGCTCCGACAAGTTTACTGGCATTGGTCGACCTGAACTTGCGGCTTCCACCAGCATGATGGGCATGGCTCCACTTTCGAGCAACGTCCGAATCTCCTTGTGCATGCTTCTCGTAAAGTGAGCTCGCTCCTTTTCTTGAAGTCGGTTGAAAGTGACTTGTCCCGGAGACTTCTTCGCCAAGCAAGGCAGAAAACGTTTCCGATCACGTCGATTGTATACGGCCATTGCGCTTTCCATCGTGACGGTCTTCTTGGAGCAGGGGGACGGGTTCCCAGTGAATAAAAAATCTTGTCCTTCCACCATCGTGTGCCTCGGCCTTCCAAGTCGCAATTTGCGATTTCATGAAAAAGCGTTTGGGCCGGAGCACTCGGCCATGATCTCGGAGCCTCCCGATGCCGTGTTGTTCATTGGTCAAACCGAAAGTGTCCGTCGCTTCCTTCATCCGCTCGAAAAGTCCTTCCGGCAGAGGGTTCCATCTCGACGTCTTCCGGACTCACTTGCGCCCGCAGGCGCTATGCTCGACCGTCGGGATCCTGATGCTGGGGTCGGAACTGCACAAAGGAGACTCGGATGTGGGAGTCGGGAGCGTGCGTTGTCGAAAGACGTTCAATGAGGACGATGTCCAACCATGTAGAGCATCGCGAGCGATCTTGCTCATTCGGCATGAGTTTTGCGCGGCATTTGTGATCCCAGTCACCCCACCATGCCGCAACATGCGTACACGTGCGGTCCTTCTTCATGTCATCGTCATCCTCGTTTGGCTCAGGGTCACCGCGAGCGTCCTTGGTCGCCGAAGACGTAACCAAAACGAACCCGCCAGCATCTTGACCTGCTTCCAACCCCCGAAACTGTGGTTCATCGGAGGCTATGCGAAAAGGGTCCGCGGTGGAATCCAAGAAATGAGACCAAGGAACATCGCCGTAGCGACAGCACGTTGACCAGATGGCAGGCGGTGCATCGGGGCGGAGTGACCGTGGAAAGCCAATGACAGCTCCAACAGCCTCCAAAAAGCACACCGGAAGCAACGGTGGCGTTTGGAAAGGATCGGTGTTTGGGCGCACGGTCAACCTCAAGAGTCCACGCGCTCCTGCTACTCCAAGTGTTGCATCGACCAGCTTGAGGACGCGTGCCGCTCCTCCCATGCCGGCGCACGGCACTGCATTCTGCTCGATTCTGCGGAAACAAGGGGGTTCGTTCCGACATCTCTCCTGAAACCGAAGCGTCGCTTGTGCGACTCAAGCTCCATAAGCGCTTTTGCCCCGGAGACACGAACTCCTGTGGAGATGGAGATCGTCCGACCCAGGGACGATGTGGATGTAGCAACTGTTGCGATGGCATCGTTGGTCGTTATGTAGCTTGCGAGGGTGTGCCAGAACCACGACAGATCACAAAAGGTGGGCTTGGGCTTGCGGGAAGTCGTAGCGATGCCCTTGACTGCTCCTTGAGCGGGCATTCTCCTGCGACGTGTCCCAGCTCCGGACGGTTGAAGCATCCGGTTCGATCTTGGAGGTCATCAGCGCCAGATCCTGGACTTGACTGAGGCGATCTTGAAGGGCCGCGGTGGTTTCACGAAAGGACTCTGAGCGAGGCCGCCGGTCGCGACACCAGCTTTCGTCGTACGAAATCGCGCTCCTTCCGCCAATCTTTCAAACCCTCTCTGACTGCTCTCTGACATCGGCATGGACACTATGGTAGAAGATATCGCCTCTCGGTGAAATTACTTGTTGTCCGCGAAGACATACTCGCCCTTTTGAAGCTCGGAGCCTTCGGATGACTCGTCGGCGTCTTCCTTGGCCAGAAACTCTTCATCTTCAAGGTCGTCATGTCCCTGTCTGGAGGTCGCAGCATCTCTGTGATTTGACTGAGGTCCATCAAAATGAGGTGGTTCTTGGGAGCAAGCATCTCCCCTCTGGAATGCAAGGTTGCTGGGCTTGCTGTTCCTGCTCTGCCCGATGAACCGTGATCGTGATGGCAGTGTTTGGATGCGCAGAACCTCCCCTCCTCCGCCTCCCCCTCCCCTGCCCCCTCCTCCGCCGCCTCCGTGGTTGCATCGGTCGGTTCCGCCCGACCTCCTTTGTCCCGACGTGCGGGAAATGGGCGGGGCGCTCGGAGATGGGCGGCTCCGATGCGCCCAGTGTGATTCGCCTCACTACGCTGAATTGCGCGGCTTAACTCCGGTTATCTCATGGTTGCGACGTAGCATGCGTACAACAGACCAGCACGCCGTCAGCGGCAGAATTGCCAGCAGACCAGCCGTACCATTATGATGGCCCTGAGCGAACACTGGGTCACAAATCCCACGCATCAGCACTCATCCTGACAGTTTCTTGTTATGGCGACAATTGTGTTTCTACAGCCGTTGCTTCGTTCTGCGCCCCGCCTATGGGTCGTCCGGAAGCCGAGCGCGTGATGTTTTGGCAACGCTTGTCGGAATCTGTCAGGAGATGCAAACGCACTGCCAGACGTTGACTTTGTCGTACTTGCAAGTTGATATCATGATCACAAATGTGGTTTCACTTCTGACTTCAAGGACATGTCTCTGATTGTATACTTTTGGATAGTACTTTGTTGTTGCCGGGGTTAGTTGATACATGCAATGTGCAGCGTTAGACTTGGTCATTGCAAAGCCCGGGGGCATCGTCACCGCCATGTTCTCCAGTGCGCCCTGACACAAATTCAGGCAGCCAAGCACAGATCATTGGCAAAGCATCGGCCAAGCGCAGATCATTGGCAAAGCATCGGCCGTGCCCAATACGCTGCAGGGCTCGTGCGCTCCGCCGATTGCAGTCCCAGGCCGCCGAAGTGGGCTGGCAACATCGCCAAATCCCGCGCACGCGGAGCTTCTGGCTGCTGTGGCTCATCTGCAACCCCAAGGGCGAAAGCGAAAGCGAAAGCGAAAAGCGTGCGACCCTGAGTGTGCTCGCCTCGCACGTGATGCTGTCGTCGAGGCCGCACTGCGGCATAACATGCAACGGAGGCTTCGCGGACCTGGGGGAGGTGGTTTGGCGAAACGTCATCTGGACTTTTCACGGACTTGGTCGAAGCTACGAGCTCTTGCTCCATCAACTACCAGAACACCTCGACCTTCAGGGCGCCTGGCCCAATTCGCCACCCGCCAATCACGCGCTCCGAATGGTGCCTCCCGACCACGTCGCAACCTGCGCAGTTTCTCACGACGCGGCGTTGTGGGACTCTCCAAGCCGTGGGACGCATTGCACGCCGCTGCGGAATGAGAGGGCACAGGTGGAGGTGGCGGAGGCGAAGGCGCAGCAAATGAAGGCAAAGCATGGACTCATCGACATTGCAGCCACCATGATGTGGTGGAGCGGGTGGCGGAGGAGGGGTCTCCTGAATGTACAGGGGGAAGACGCTCATCGAGCATATGCAAAACATTTGTGAGCATCGGGCTTAAGAGCAAGACCCTGGATTGTAAGTCTGATTGTCCACGCCACGCGGGTGTGGTTCCGCACCTGAGCGAAGGTCAGGTTTTGGACACCTGCCGATCTAACATGCGAGTTGGTCCAGGCGAAACCGCACCGTTTGCGGCTTCCATTGGATTTTCATCAAGGCCCGAGCTGATGGAGTCAGGGTCTGCTTGTAATGCAGAATCCAACCGATCAGTACAATAGGGCCGAGACGGCGCATCCATGTGAACAATTTCTTCATACGTCCACTTCTGAAAGATGGGTAACAAACTATTGGTGGCTAAGGTTGCATTCCCGTGAAAGGTGAGAGTGCGGTTAGCACAATGAAACAAGACTCCGCACAGCAAACGTGGGCAACGCGAGAAAGCACCCTGTGATGAATTAATCCGAAGCCAGACGCCCCAAGCAGTGGTGCCTTCAACACGAAGTTGGGGGATTTCCAGCAGTGCAAAACATCCGTGTTCAATGAGCATGTTGACTTTTGCAACGAATGCATTAACAGACCTGGATAAGTCTGCCATATGAAGCACCGGAGATTGGGTTCGGGGCACAAACACAGTTTCTGGCACGCGGGGGTTCACTGGTACATCTCTCATGGGCTGCGGCTGCGGACGGTGCAAAGCATTGTGAACAAGCAGTGAACGGGCAATTTTGAGAGCGTGGTAATACAGCGTTTGGTGCGGTATTTGTGCATTGCAAGCCCAACAGCGGCGCCGTGTGCCACACTAAGCGCTTCGTCGCTGGACACACGAGTGCTGGTGAAGGTGGGTCGAAAAAATATAACTACAATCATAAGTACGCGACTCATCATTTTGCAGCACTGTCGGGTTGCGCACATGTTCAACACCTGTGGTCGTGGGTTGACCTGGCACCTCAGGCGAAGGTTGCGCATGCAGAGTAAGAAGGTGCGGCAAGGAGGCCGGCCAGCTATTATTATTGCGCACGGCACGGTCCAATTCAGACACTAATGGGAATCCTGCATACATCCGAAGAAGCAGGTTTTGAAGCAAGTTGGGGACATGCCCATTGCTGTCAACAACAACCGGAGCAATACACCGAATTCCCACCCTCGTCCCACTTGGATACTGCTCGCTGAGTTGGCGAAGTTGAGCTGCCGCTTGAAATTCAACACCACTTAAATACGCTTGAGCAAGGTGGGAAACAACACACATTTGACACAACAGTGTTCTGCACAATGGTTGGAAGTTGGAACCATGGTATGGTCGCGCACCACCTTTCGGCAGTTTGTACATGCAAAAGACCGGATGCACGCAGCAGGATTGGGCAGCACACGAAGGAATTCGTAACTTCCAAGTTGCGGGCCGCCGGCAAAACAAATTTGCAGAGACAACCGTTTGCCCTTTATTTGGGGGAAGCACGTGTCCGTGCGCGACTGCTGGTGCACTTGCAAGAACAAAAAAAGGAAGCAAAGCCAAGTTCGCGAGTTGCGCGCTAGATCTACCACAAGTGTTCGCGGCCCACGGCACACAAAACGGCATTAGGGGGGTCTTCCGATGAAGGGAGCGCCAATCGTCTGGTTGGGGCCCATTCTTTTTCAAGCGCATGCAACGGGGCATCAAACGCGGACAGGCAGGCGCAGCACAACACTAGAACACGCTCCGGTGCAGAGGGCATACCAGCACAAACATTGGAAATTTCTTTATCATGGACAGGGAGTGTTTCCCACATGTTCTGTATGGGAAATCCAACAAGACGGCAAGCACATGACAAGGCAGACGAGCCGGGCCACGGAGCATTGAAGGCAGGCCGGTCTTTCGGAACGGAGCCAAATTTGCACGGCACAGGCCACATGGAGTTGCGCCGCAAAGGCACAGCCAGGTCCAAAGTGCCTCAACCACAGGAAGCTGGCACAACGCACACGCGTATCTGTTGAAAAACAAAGTAAACATCATGGTTCAAAACACTCCCTGCTACAAACGGGAAAACGAACTTTTCTCTCGCACAGTTCTTGAGCCTAAGCCTCCGGTGGGTCCAATCTCACTTCATGCTCTCACCATGCCTTAGGCATTCTGTGTGCTTCCTACAGCACCCATTCACTGTACTTGGACACACGCTGTACACTTAACACCCCGCCTCGGAACAGGTCGAAGGCTTTAGGGCGTTCGTTCTCCGTTCTGCAGTGATTGTCACTGCTGTGCCAAAAGACGAAGAGCTGTTTCGGACTGCAAGTGTACCGGGCACATTCGTCTCCATTGGTCCATGGTCTTTTACCCGGTTTGAAACACGCAGAAACTTCTAAACTTGAATGTCTAGTTACACGGGCTTGTCTTAGAGTCCTCATCTCGTGAGTCTCAGCCCTGTGGCCAGCCTATGGCTCTTGTGTGGTCTTCACTTCACTTGACCTAACCATCTTCTTTCTTCAACTGTTCTTGCCTTTACCTGGCTGCACCTTACACTCCTAGTCCTGCTTCGCACTCTTCGTGAAACTCGTGTGAATATCACAAGGCGTATTAGGGTCCTTGCTTATTCAAAAACATTCGTTGTACCTACTTTGTACTTCGTGCAAATGTTCGGGTTGCTCGAACTTGGAATTTTTGCCTAACGGCAAAATGGGGGTGCAAAGCACTCTCCCGCTATGTCTGAAGCCTCCGAGAGCAAGAAGCAGAACAGATGCAGAATCCATCAGTTGCAAAATCCATGAAGCTCGACGTCTTAGCTGCCAGCTGCAGTATAACAAAGTAAACCAAAACCTCTGG